TGGTTTTGGTATCAGTATAATACTTGCCTCCAGAGATGATTTTGGGAGGATGCTTTCCTTTTCAATTTCATTGAAGGATTTGAGGAGTATAGGGATTATATCTTCTGTAAATTTCTTGTAGAATTCAGCTGTGAATCCTTCGGACCTGGACTTTACTATGTCGGTACATTTTGTATTTCATTGTCAGTTATTTGGTTATTGAGAGTTGTTATATCTTCTGGATTCAGTTTTGGTAATTTGTAAATTTCTAGGAATCTATTTCTTGTGTGTCTCGTATTGTGTTAGAGTAAAGATTCTCAAAGTAGCTAATGATAATCTTCTCAATTTCCACTGGGTCTGTGGTAATTACACCCTTTTCATTCCTTGTTGCTTGTGTTTGGATTTTTCTTTCCTCTTTTTGATGAGATTAGCTAGGGACTTATGAATTTTATTTAGTCTTTGAAAGAACCAGCTTTTTGATTCATTAATTCTTTGAACTGCTTTCTTCTTGTCAATTGAACTAAGTTCTGCTCTATCTTTATGATTTCTTCCTGTCTTTGGGCTCTGTATTTGGTTTGCTCTTCCTTTTCTAGATGTTGAAGGTGCAACATTAGGGTGTTTATTTTTTCCCGTCCTGTTTTCCTGATATGTGAATTCACAGTTTTAAATTTCCCTCTCAGAACTGCTTTCATTGCATCCCATAAGTACTGATATGTTGTGCTTGAATTTTCTTTGAATTGTATATATTGTTCAATTTCTTTTTAAATTTCATCTGGAATCCATTGATTGCTGAATAGAGTGTTGTTTAATTCCCATGTATTCATGGGGCTCTTCTGGTTTCTTTTCTCATTTATCTCCAGTATCATTGCACTGTGGTCACATAATATGCATGGGAGAATTTCCTTTTTCTTGCATATACTTAAGCATAATCTATGGACTAGTATGTGGTCTATTTTAGAAAATGACCCGTGTGCTGCTGAAGAAAATGTGTATTCAGCTGTTTTTGGATGCAACACTCTGTATATGTCTGCAAAGATCTGCTACTTCTTTGCTAATTTTTTGGTCTGCTTGACCTGTCTCTTTGGGATAAAGGGGTGTCAACGTCTCCTGGTAAGATTGTTTTATTAGATGTTAGATTTTTCATGTCCATTAAGATTTGTCTTATATAGTTGGGTGTTCCTGTGTTTGTTGTGTAAATATTTATGAGTGTTATCTCTCCCTTTTTATTTTTCCCCGAACCAGTATATAGTTGCCTCCTTTACTTTGTTTG